AGGCAGGGTGGTGGTACCTACCTGTGCAGACTCACAAGACGTCCTACCACCAGTAAATCTATAACGTATTTATGTTATGTTTAATCAATACCGTTACGACGCCAAGTAAACTACATACAATGTAATGTACTCGCATGTTTCACTTCAACTATAAACTTGAACTGAAATAGCTAGCATAAAAGTATGTGTTAGAACTCAGTCGATCTGTTCAGAATTCCATTTAATTTATGAGGTAACACGATCAGCCTCGCTCAATGGACGAACATGTTTGACCCACGTCAAATGCAGGCAGTTACCGAACACTCATTGTATCCAACAAACATTTCCATTCGATATCCTTAGTTATTTCATCTATGCAATCACGAATAAGTGATCTAAAAGTGTTACTAGACGTATGACACATTGCGAGACTAAGGGATATTCAATTTGCATTCGCAAAGAAAATCAGTGATTCAAAATTGTCTATACTACTTGCAAGCTTTAAAAAAGAGTGGTAAATAAAATAAGCTGTTAGTTTTAATGTGTTAACCGCGAAATAATTACATTAATAAAATAATAGCCACCTGGTCTATGATACACTTACACCTTAGGAGTAGGGGACCCCTACGTCTAGGGTGCGTGTAGGACTGAACGGTCCACAACTGTTGGGAGCGGACCACGGGCCCAAGGGTTGGAAGGGCGGAGATTGGACGTTGAGGAGTCGTTTGGTGGGTAGAGCCCTAAAAATATCCTTGGTCACTCTACTCTCAGACTCAGGGCAGTCTACTCCCAACAAACCGTCAAGTCCCATATACCTCGAGCATCTTCTAGACGCGAATACCTTGTATGAGGCCCGGGTCGCTGTCGGAAACAAGGGGTGCAAGTTGAAAATAGGACGAGGAAACAATGCAAAATTATTACAGACTGGTATCCTAGAAACAGTAAGCACAGCAGAGGAACTTAACGAAGGAGATGAAAGGGCAAATTAAAACTCACAGTGAACCTTAATCTTAACTTGGAGTAAACTGTCTCGCGATAGAGCCCGAGGGACGAAGTTAAAGGGAATCTATACCAAGAGTCATACTGAATATAGTATTATAATATATACTATTAATGGACCAGACTAAAAACCACTTCTAAATATAAAGCCATTATATTTTTTTATTATAGGAATTATTTCTACGAAAACTGTCGTAAAATATTTATTTGCCAATAAAATCTAGTGAGTCCAACAATACTGGTACTCGGAATCGCTTTGGGCATGTCGCACTATCACGATAGCTATTACGGGCTTCAATTGATTTTTATTTGATTTACAAAAATATGAAAAGAATTTTAAGAATGATTTACTATTAGAAGGAAACCAATCCAATGTCGAAACAGAATGTAATACTTGGAACAATTTTGTTTAACAAAAGAACGTTTTCAAAAAAAAGTTAACAATTTTCGATCAAACTGAGCAATAGTCTCTTACCACTAGGAGTAAAATGGCGTTCGTAATGCGACTGCTTCTTCAAACACGGGTTGAAATACTTCTATTTCACTACTAAATCATAATCTACATGCCGCTGAGAAAGACTGATGAGTGTTTGAGGCACAGAAACCATAAAACATAATATATATTTTATATATTTATTAATAAAAAGCATTACAATTTTCAAAGTTTCATAAAATTTCAAATCAAATAGGAGAACTCTAATCTATCTATCATTAATTTTGATAATACATAAACACAACGAAACTCAGCAGAATCATTATACAAAAGATTTAGATAATTCCGTTAACAATCACGTAATTACTATAATGTTCCGTCAATGATTTACCAGAATTAAATGCCTCTCCTACAATATTAATATATGGTTCGTGTGCACAAACGTTTTTAAATTTAATCTCAAATCTAATCTGTAGTATCTCAAAATAATATGGCCTAATCAGCAAACTTAATGATATATATAACTACGGTTGCTTAGCATGAAGGGACGGGAAAAATAGTCTAGGAAATAGCCAACCGGAATCTTGCTTATTTCTGTCGGTACACAGCTGAAGCTGTTTGATATGCGGACACAGTCGGAGCGAACTAACGTTGCCGGCGGAGTCCCTGAAAAGCCTGAGGCTTTTAACGACATTCGTATAAAAGTATTATTATTATGTTACTCCTGTACATTAATTGACGACCATGCGGCTCACCTGGTGTTAAGATGTTATTATACCGGAACTTATAAGGTGTATATATAGCACCAGCTACTTTGAGATGTGAGGTTCAAGTCTCCAATATTCTATCCAAAGTTTGAAACGAGGATTAGTATCTATCAGTTGACATAAGTACGCATCTATTCCGATCAGAGTTAGGTTTAGATTAATTAAATGACAAGAAAAAACACGCAAGACGAAACATAAGTTGTGCGAACTCTGTGTGTCGTCAATGCATAAAAATGTGTGTGTATCAATCACGTGAATAATTTTAAATCGGAGTACCCACATGATGCCGGATTAGGCCGGCCGCAAAACTTCCGAAATCAATCCGAAGTGTTTGATTGGATGGGATAATTATATACAATCATTTTTACATTACTTAAATTTTAACAATAAATTTTACTCTATCGTGAATTGAACTTCCTTTACGGACATAAATCTTTGTGATATAAAAGTAATTCAAGTTATCACTTAGTTAGTCAACCTAAAATATACTTATTATACTGAAATTAGTGTAAACACCCAAATCTTATGGCTCCGGTAACCACTTAATACCAACTGGGCTGTGAGATCAAACACACACACAGCTAAAAAAAAAACTCATGTTTTGGTACGAGGCCAGCCTTATTTTTTACTACGAATCATATTACTTACGGTACTTGTGTAAATCATTATTCAAGGGTTGGCAGAAAATTAGTTTTTTTCGTTATGTTCAAGTATTCTTTATACTGAAACTGTTTACTTGGGAAATATTATTTCTTCGTGAAATCGATTATACTAATAGAAAACTATCTACAATATTCAGCTTGATATACCCTTTGTGGGTCACCTTATTGTCCTCCTTATTGGATGTCACCTTATTGACTCTGTATATTCATATGTATATTATGATAATAATATCAGTGTTAAATTCAATCTTGGCCTGAATATAAAATTTAATTTACGACATATAAACTCACCGACGGAATGTTTGGATCAACTGTCACAGATTATGCATTTAAATTTAATTTTCTCACAAGTTCAGTAAATGGACTTTAATAAATTATTTCTCGTCATTTGTTCCCTTTACCGATGGTAATTTTTCTGATGATGTTATATTTTAAGGCTTCAACAAAAAATAATCCACTGATGCGATGCGCAGATAATGTAAGCCTTAATATAGGCTTCTTCCATCGGCCTCACGGTAATTTTCATAGATGGATAATAAAATCTTGTCTTTGAAGTATCTATTATTATTAGTGGTCCCCCAGTAGTCGAAATTAGAGTGTAATTAATTGAAATTATAAGTTCGAACATTGTTAGAGTTCTATTGTCAAAGGCTTATTATACTTCTATAAACGCAGATTTTGCCAAGACTACACTATACTCGTGGACAAATTTTAATAATATTAAAGATAAGCAATATTAACCTATTCTCAATATGACCACAGACTTTAGCAATAACAAAAGTTGGACAATAAACAATGAGTACGTATTATATATTATGTGTGAGTGTATCAAATACTTGGTAGTGTGTGTAATGTTTATTTATTATTGATTTAATGTATAATTATTAATGCCTAATTTTAAAAAAATATAAGCATTCTGTAATCCTTCCTTATATTCTCTATATGTGTGGGAAATTTCGTACTCCTTTGTACTCCGTAAAAAGGGTTACAAAGTTTTTGCTTTACGTACTCATCTGTATATCTATATATATAAAAATGAAACCCGTTTTCCGTTGTCACGACATAACATGAAAACGGCTTGACCGATTTGGCTAATTTTGGTCTTGAATTATTTGTTGAAGTCCAGAGAAGGTTTAAAAGGTTAGATAAATATAAAAATATTCGGAATTAAATAAAAAAAACAATTTTGTTTTTCCTTTGATGTGTCCCCCGTCGGACGGATTCCTTTTGTTTGTTTTAAGTTTATCTTAAACAAAAGTTTAGGTCTTTTATTTATCGATTGAGGCACTACGAAGTCTGCCGGGTCAGCTAGTCTATATATATAAAAATGAAACCCGTTTTCCGTAGTCACGACATAACATGAAAACGGCTTGACCGATTTGGCTAATTTTGGTCTTGAATTATTTGTGGAAGTCCAGAGAAGGTTTAAAAGGTATAAAAATATGAAAATTCTCGGAATTAAATATAAATAACAATTTTGTTTTCCCTTTGACGTGTCCCCCGTCGGACGGATTCCTTTTGTTTGTTTTAAGTTTATTCTATATAAAAGTTTAGGTCTTTTATTTATCGATTGAGGCACTACGAAGTCTGCCGGGTCAGCTAGTATTATATAAAAATGAATTGCTGTTCGTTAGTCCCGCTAAAACTCGAGAATGGCTGGATCGATTTGGCTAATTTTGGTCTTGAATTATTTGTGGAAGTCCAGAGAAGGTTTAAAAGGTAGATAAATAAGAAAATGCTCGGTATTAAATAAAAATAACCATTTTTGTTCTTCCTAAGTTTATTTTATACAAAAGTTTAGGTCTTTTATTTATCGATTGAGGCACTACAAAGTCTGCCGGGTCAGCTAGTATATAATATAGTAATAATTCAGTAGTAAACGTCGAAATGATGCCAAACAAATATGTGAGCGCAGTATCCTGCTCTAAGTCGGCCATTTAAGCCTTTTTTTATCGGGCAGGGGTCGACCCCACACGTGGAGTCCGCGTCTAGGGAGGTGCGGGGTATGTGGCGACCATTTAAACCTGACATGTGGTAATAACCGGAAACGACATAGATTAATTTATTGCGGTTTGTGTAACCATACGATTAAACGCTCATTGTCAACTGATACCGACTGACCGCCGAAACGCTTTAGAAGGTGACCGACTCCCAGAAATAATGTATCGTCTCCTCTGTGCACTTTATTTTGTTTCAACCGCTTCTTTTGTGAGTACATGATTTCTATATCAAAAACATACCGTGAGACATTTTGCGAAAATCACTTTAGATAATTAATGTCTTAGTTAAAATATAATAAACTTAAATAAATATAAAAATTTACTAACAATCACGCCACATTAACTGGTCCCGTACTAAGTTCGTAAAGAACTTGTATTACAGGTACCAGATAACGGAAATAAATGTAAGATTTTTATTATACACATACATATATTTAATAAACATCCATAACCCTGGAAAAGACATTTCTATATTTATCATACAAATATCTTCCCTTGGCGGGATTCGAACCCGCGACCCCCTTGTGTAGTGACCATGTCACTTACCACTACACCAGACGGCCGTTACGATTATTATCAAGTTAGTGCGTACTACAGTCATATGATACTGTAGGAATAACGACAGAGGCAAAATCTTCCATCAAGGGAATGCTACTGCGTATGTTGTTTGGAACTTGAATATATTATTATATAAGCTTCTCTTGAATATGTCATAAGCGAGTTTTAGGCATTTGTCAAATATCTTGTGTAATATGATGGCTACCGCCACAATTGCGTAATTACTGGTGGTAGGACCTCTTCTGAGTCCGCGCGGGTGGGTACCACCGCCCTGCCTATTTCTGCCGTGAAGCAGTAATGCCGAAACGGTTTGAAGGGTGGGGCAGCCGTTGTAACTATACTTGAGACCTTAGTACTTATATCTCAAGGTGGGTGGCGCATTTACGCTGTGAATGTCTATGGGCTCTAGTAACCACTTAACACCAGGTGGGCTGGCAGCTTGTCCATCCCTCTAAGCAATAAAAAAAAAATATACAAAGACCGTATGTGGAATACAAATTTACTTCAAACTACACTCTTTATCCCGCCTGCCTTGACTTTTATTATACTAACAAATATTCAGTAATGAAATTGAAAGGCTTTTTCGTTCAATTATTTTTCTTTCAGGCATTGGAAGTGATACCGGAAAGACCAGAAATTATATACACTAATGAAAATTATGTCAAAAATGTGAAGGCTTCTGTGAGGAGACCATCGAGAAACTCAAAATACGTACTGAACATTGATTTGGTAACTTTACAACAGTGGAACAAAAATGTTACTGTAAGAACTTTAATTTGTCTTTATTTTAATCCAGAAATAGTGTGTTGAAAATTAACCATATCTGAAAAACAAAAAAAAAGTAGGACAAAGTCAGAAAACAATTATCTAAAAATATATGTTTAGTTGTCAATCAGAAGGCACTGGCCATGAAATTCTTTGCTCAGCTGGCTTCATAAGCAGTAATGTTTAATACATAGTGGACTCTAAGGACTACGCAAAGTTTTTTTTTTTTTATTGCCTTTGTAGGCAGACGAGCATACGGCCCACCTGATGGTGAGTAGTTACCATCGCCCATGGACTTCAACAATGCCAGGGGCAGAGCCAAACCGCTGCCTACCGCTTAATACTCTCCACAAGCCTTGCACTTGCCTTGCCTGTGCACCATCACTTGACATCAGAGCCGTCAGCTTCAGGAATTTCGCTGTCAGCTCATAACTCACTAGCTCATAATCCTACAAATTCTAAAACCTAATTAATCCAGCGAAAATATACTGTTAATCAGCTAGAGATCTTCAGTGTATTCCAGGAGCTTACTGATGAGTTCCGCAGATTCACAAAAACTACCAAGGGATAATTCTTTTTACAGTTTCACTTTAATATATACGAGAACTTGCACAACGAGTACAAAATTAGCTTCGTAAATATCCCAGATATGAACTTCTGTGAGGTAATAAAATTTCAATTATTCCAAAAAACCTTAGAGAACACAATGGTGAAGTGTCCTCTGCCTGCGGTGAGTACACGATTATTCCTTACATATGTGTATAACTATAATAGAAAACTGTTAAGCTCTCACCGGTAGTGCTCGCCTCACACAAGCAAAAATTAAGAATCTTTTTCATAATTAAATAATGTAACAAAAACATACGCTTCAAGTTAAAGAAAAACTTTTTGATGTGAAACATCTATAGCCGCACGTAAAACCGATTTCTGGCGTGGCGACGGATGTCGAGGCGACGCGTCACCATGCGCTATCGACTGTGCGATTCTCTCCCACTCGATCCGGCGCTAAGCCATCTCTCTCACTACACTGAGCTCGGATACGTATAGTGTATTATACTTGTGTTTTACTTGAAAACAAATTATTTTTTTGTAATATTTTATTTTATCATTATGACATATTTAGTTCTTATCACAATCTGTTCTTTTCTGCATATTACTTTTACAAAATAATGTCGATGTTTCACATCTGCCAGGCGTCCCGTGACGGCTCACATTTTTATTTGATTGAAGTCGACCTATTGCTGGTAGGAGGTATGGTATACCCACGCCGATGGATGTCACCGTCTTGTCTGCTTCTGTTCTATTCGGTTAGAAGGGTGAGAGTGGCACAGCCGTTATACAATAGAATCTGGCTTCGCCCTCGTATCTCCGGGTAGGTTTCGGCGTGCACTATAAGCACATTATAGAAAGTTTGGGCACGTAATCATTAAGCACAAAAAAATAAACGGTCAAGTTTTTTCCTATTCGTACCGGAAGACGTAGCGTAGGTAGGTCTCCCACAAGATGGACCGACAACCTATTGAGGTTCGCGGGGATCCGCTGGATGCAGCCAGCACAGGATTGGTCGTTATAGCGAGGCTTGGGAGAGGCCTATGTCCAGCAGTGGACGTCTGTGGGCTGATAGAATAGAAAAAAAAGCTTCCACGTTTTATAGTCCGAATGTAGGATAAGCAACTGTTTTTATAAGAACACCCAGACTCCGAAAACGAAACAGCGAATAGATATTGATTTCGATCGGGAATCGAAACCTGACGTCGTGGTTCACTAGCCAAAATTACTATCCACTGGAACAACTAGAAGCTCAATAAAGTATTTGCGTAGTGTCAAAAGATCTACAAAAAAAAATTTGACCGTATCCTAATCGGCCCGACTATGAAAATAACAATACTCTCTTTTCATTCACAGGGACACATTCATGTACCAAATCTAACTCTAGCAATACCTGATTTTCCATACACGTGGCCATTTGAGAAGTGCAAAGCTCGACTTACGGTTAAAGCACCTAAAGGTATCATTATGATCATTGGTGACCTGTACCATTCATTGAAGCAAACTACCAAAAAGAAGCCATAATGTAATACACAGAATCAAATAAGTATGACCAGCAAACCACTTACATACCCTACATTGAACGTGCTTTATATCGCAAAACAAATGTATCTTGTTTGCACATAATACGAATTGGGACACTAATTTCTTTTATTTTTATGTTTCATTTTAAGTGCCCGTGGTCTCGAGCGATGCGACCAGTTCGGGGCTTGTCAATAGTTTTTTAAACAAACTACGCTCCTGTGAAGTGTAGTAAACCAACACCGCAACTTATCAATCCTTTATTTAAACACCATACAAGTATCTAAATTAATGCACCAAATTTAATGTAACGTTGGAACAGTTTTATGTGTTCCAGAAAACGCGATAAAAGCAGGGACGCTTCATGACAGGTGATTATTTGACGGATGACGTTAAGCTCTATTTTGGCGCATTCATTATATATAAATAAATAAAATAAAAATATAAAAAACTTTTATTTCGTACAAGTGAATAAAAAAGTGACATAAAAACAAAAATATATAAATAATGTATTTGTTGAATAATGTTAGGTATTATTTCTCACTTGCAAGAACCCCTCCTCAGGTAAAGGCCTCCTTCAAGGACAGCCAATCTTTTCTGGATTGCGCAATTTCAACTCAGTTTGTAGTTGCTACTTTCTTTATCCTAACCCTTGCTCACAAAAAAATTGTACAATGACAGAATATCATTTGTGTCGGTTGTAAAAATCCGAAAGATCTGAATTCAAGCTTGTCTAGATGGGATGGGCATGTGGAAGAGCGAAGTTGGGTTGCTTAACAGCTTTTTTGTCCATAGCATATTCGGACTCTGTGCCAACACTGCCAACTTGCAGTGATGATCTACCAGTTCAATATTTCACCAAGAAAAGAACTCATTCGGTATCATCTGTCCCCAATTTAAACTAACAACTTTGATTATGACCATCTCTTAGACAATCTTATTGCGTGAAAATATTCAAAAGTCTACTCTGAAATACGATCAAAATTCAAAATTGCATTCCATACTACGAACGAATGAAAGATCATTAAATCGTATTGCCATAAACAGTTCTGGCCAGTCTCGCAGCCTCTCCATACATACCATCGACATGAATTCATGCGGAAACTAATTTCGGAGTTTCATTCGCTTTAATGAGATCATTGTTCCAATAATGTTAGATTAGGCTTGATACAACCAGCGTGTTGTATCTAGTTTTACAAACTGGGGTTCCGGATAAAATAATAAATAAGTTTTAACAAAATACGTGTGTATTAATCGTAGTCAAAGTTTAAAGGTCAAAAACTGGACTTATACGCTCAATAATAACCATAATATCGTACTACGAGTAATATCTCTACTACACCATCTTTCTACTTCGTCTCGGATCGCTTTACAGTTCAAATCGTATAGTTACTTTGTTTCGATTGGTCGGGTGTTATCCCACTACCTAAGGACAACGGAATCTGATTGAGCATACCCGAGACCTACCGAATCTACTCGGTTAGCCAAGAAACATCTTAGTGAATTACAAAACAATGTAATATATTCACAATCGGAATAAATACATAAACCAAAAGAAAACGCATCAATTCTCAAAAGAAAATGCATTAATTAAATATTATTATTATATAATTATAGTTAACATAAATTTATTAACAACACAATAAGCGACCAGAAATTTTGCATCAAGCGTTCTATTAAGATTATACTTCACTATCGATCTCTAGAGTTGAACTTTCCCTGAGCTTTTCTGTTGTCCGAAAAAATTAAAGCCTCCAGGAAGCCTTTCTGGCTTCTACTAGGGTAGGTGGGCTCAACAAAGATAACTGGGAAAACTCAACAATAGCCCGAAAATCTTCGAGGCTACTTCGCGAATGCATCTACTATATGATCAGAATCGGAACAAGCTGAGAAGATTTGATGAGAAGCACAGTATGCTAATGTTATATGCTATGTATGATGTGGAGCGCTTCGACGGGTACGGTTACATATGCAACGATTGTTGCTAGTTTTTAAACTGCAAAAGTCCAGCAATAAAAACGGTAGATCAGGTGTGTCCATCAGGACGTGTACTTTTTCCTATCTATTAACCCTAACGAGCTACGTTCGAACGGGTAAGTAAGCTTACGGGCTCAACCTGAGAGAATTTGCTAAAACTAGCCCTAGCAAAAGCAGTGCTTCACAAATTCTTCCACTGGATCGAAATCGCAACCCACTGAGATGATCGCGCGAGAAACTTAGTGGAAGTGTCTAAGGCAGGGACGACAACTACGCACATGCTACGTGTACCAGGTCAGGAGAGTAGTCAGTAACGGCCACAATAATTCAAAAAAACATCATAGCCTAAAGGTTAAGACGCCCGATAAGTTAATATCAAGTGGTGCAACTATGCCGGTGTTCGGATCCCGCAGGCAGGTACCAATTCTTCTAAAGCAATACGTATTGTTACGCCGATAAGAGCAACGCCACCTATCTTCGAATAGTAGAAACGAATATCAAAAGAACTAGTAAAATCGAGAACGCTCGAGAAGTACAACGCCATTTATTATCAAATAGCGGAAACACATATCAAAACCACTCTACTTGTCAAGAATGTTCTCGATAATTCTAGAGATGTCGTAACGACTATAAAAGCGTTGCAGAGATGATATGAAATTTGTCAGTAATCGGATCTACTCGAAGCGAAACAGGGAACGGATCACCTGAAGCGAAGCGGAAGAAGTGAATTATGAAGTTTATAGTGTTCTTTGAGTGTTCTAAGCGTTAAATAGAGTTTTAATTTGTACTTTGGTGGAACTTTTATTTATCCCGAACCCCAGCGCGTAACAGTATTTAACATATATCCACGAGTGACTTCCAAGATGAAAGATTAACATCGTATAACCAAAATAAAAGGCATAACAATTATAATTTGCATTATTAAGGCACTTGTCTTATTTTTGTCGCATAGAATTAATGCTTTTTCGTTTGAAAGGTGAGGCCACCGTTGTACTGTTGTAGCTGAGACTTAGAACTCATGTCTCAATCTGGGTGGGGGCATTTACGTTGTTGATGATTATAAGCTACGATAACTAATTTACATCAGGTCGGTCAGTATCAGTCTTGATAATTAAAAAGTGACGACGCTTGCAGCTGAAAGGAAGTATTGTACTTTTTGACGAAACATGTTGCTGATAACTTTATTTCTGTAATCTGACGAAGCATGTTGCGGATAATAACATGTACTTTTAGGTTAGGAATATTGTGTTGTTTTTTTTATAATAATTAAAAAGTGGTTCATCGTTCCGACACTGACTTCATACACGGATCACCGTTGCCCGCGACCGTGCGCTCTCACATACATACGCACATGTATACGGAACACGCAACATTTCCAGAATGGAACGCAGTCAAACCTACCGACAGCTCCTCGCTCGCTGCGAGCTTTTGGTTACCTCTCTATTCCTAGCATAAAATTGGAATTATGTACTATTTGTTAGTGCTTCTATTTTGCGAATATATATGTGAATCACTGGATGATTATCAGACATGTTGTAACTGCAAAATCATACGTCACTTGGCCAGCCAAGCGTTAGATCCCCAACTAAAAAGATTTCTCATAGGATAATTGTCAGTCGTGTAATTTCACTACAAGTGTAACATGCGTTGGGCGGGCGAGCAGAATGCAGTTGTGACTGTGCTTTGATTGCTAGATTCCACCAAACTTAAAATAATCCACCAACAGTTACTTTTACTTTAATTAAGAATTTATATATAACTGTTGCATTTTACACAGTATTTTAATAATAAAATTGAGCCTTGAGGTCAAGTGGTCACTTGTACTAGTCCACTTGTACTTGTTTACAGAAAATAAACTACGTAAAGACAAACAATACTATATTCCAAATTATACAAAATATTGAAATTCAGTCTCTCAAAATATTCAGAAATTAATTGTTGTTCAGGATCTACGCCTTTTGCCGTCACCTGTCAGTCCAAATCGAATAATTAGACAGTTGCCATTGAAACTTCAAAACAGTTTTCTGGCATAATATCATTTATAAGCGACAAAGACTAAGTACTCTGATATTTTCAAAGACAATAAGTTTATTAAATTTTCGAGGCAAACATATCTAGCGACAAGCTACATTAGTTATATATGAAAACAACCATCGAAAACGAAGTGTAGTTCGATTTTTCTGCACTTTTGATCAATTATTTAAGATTTTCCGTTGTGTTTTGTTCTGAATGCGGCACCACAGAGACGGGTGTGGATAGTGTCGTCACAAGCATTTCTTTGTATGCGTACACAATCAACACATCGTGACAAAGGACAGCTGCAAAAAAGGAATACAGTTTTTTATTTATCTTAAGGGTATATTCATTTTACCAGCCCTAAACGGACGTGCTACAAGCTCGTATGGTTCATCAGAGATGCAAATTAATAATCTTTCACTGATGGAGTAGATAATATTTGCGCGATGCAGACGGAACACACCAGATGTCTGACCCCATACAACACGCGATGACTAAGCTTATATTTTAATTCGTGCACGATTATCATGACGGTTGGAGGGATTGAAGAATCAACTTAGTTACAAGCTTCTTTGCTGTAGACCAGCTGGTCGAGACAGGGGTCGAATTCCCAAGGCTATTAATTATAATAAGTAAGACGCCAATTAGAAATTACAATTCTGTGATGCTTCTTCCAAGATAGGGCTGTAGTAATGTGTAGCCGAATCTTGGATCCAACCCGTCAAACCCCGATTAGTACCCCGTGTATAAGCTTTAGAGACAAAGCCTTATGTTTTGAATTCAGAATTTACATATTGTGTTAAGATGGTCTGCGACGTCGATCTAAATACTCTCGATGAGAACGAAATTCTTAAAATTATTAATTATTATTATAATACTAACTGCTTAGTGTATCGCTTAAAGACGATGCTAATAATGAATGATATGCCTACAACGTGATCACTAGTCTAAAGGACATATTTATTGTACTCGTGTGGTTGTTTGAGTTTTAAATCTTTGTTTACCTTTTT